AAGCACTTACATAATTTGAACACTTATACTGCTAAATTCCAACCACCCTCTGAGGATAACTAATATCCTACTAAAACCTACCAAGTTTATTGGACTGGCCTAGACTTTGTACAGAGCCATATTATAAGTATTTTCTCACAATTTTATTACTTTAGACAATTCCATTTCCAATCACTGTACTGTAAACAAGCCAATAAATCATTTCCCACTGTGTTCTTGGAGCTGGGATTATGATAAACTCTGTGGGGAAGTTCTGGTAATTGGAACACACAAACTTATTTGTTATCAATAGTGTAATATTATGGTGTCATGTAAACAATCCAATGGGAGGAGCAGTAATTCACTGCTTTATGGTTGGCAGGTTTCTACTTCAGTCTTTAACAATAAAATAAACATGGGAAATAGATGTGAAAGTTAGAAGTAGAAACTCTCAAAAGAAGCACTTTGCAACTTCATGGTCAAGATTGAAAGGATGGAACAGTGCTACTACCTTTATTTTGCATTTTTCAAATTGACTGATCCCGTATAGTCAGATTAGAGAAAATAACAGATAAAGCATTAAGTTTTCTGAATTTATGAGTTTTAGAGATTTATGTAAGTTATATTTGATAATTTTCAGATGAAGAAAAGTATTTTTTTAATCTTAACAGGAAAATCACTTTGCATATGGAACAGTCAACACTCTGACTCCTTATATTCACAGATAAATTTTTAGTAAAAATACTTACTTAAAAATTCTGATTTTTTAGCTATAAGAGACTTTTAATGTTTACTAAAAGCTTGAAAAATTTAATGAAGAAATACAAAACATGTTAAAAGTTATGTTATGGAAACTGGTGGTCACTTTGGGGTCACATGTAATTCACCAAGGCAGTAACGAAAGAGTTAAAAATGCCAATAAGTCAAACTTGTTTTATTTGTATATGTTACGGGATATAAACTTTTAATGATAACAATACTTATTTCTTTAATTTTGTTTGCTTTAAGTTATTTACTGAAACAATTACACATTATAACTCACTTCTTCAGTCCCAAGAGTCATTCCTTGGATGGTCATGGCTATGTCAACCCTTTGGAAACCAGCAGGCTTCACCCAGTTGATTTAGTTTTGAAGCCTAAGGTACAGCATGATGTTTGTTCAACTAGTTTAAGCTCATCAGTACCACTGACTTCTTTGTTGCAATCCAAGTCTCCAGGTAGGCTCACAACATTACCTCTTTACTTCAGAATGTTATTTTCCTCTGACTTAGTATCTTATATGGTATAAATGTTTTAGTTTTTCTCTTAGTAAGTGAGAACTACATAATTTATATATTTTTCCATGCACTTTGTGAACTCTTTTGTGAGTTATTGTTAATATGAGAAAAGAGTTGTGTAAGTTAATATTTATTATTTTATAAGTATGTAATAGTTGCTCAATTGTATCTTGTGATAATTTTTATAGTATAGAATTAATGTTACAATCATAGGTAAGAATGTTTTTAAATTTTAAACTTATAATAGCTGCATACTTGTATCAGTTAATAATTTTGATAGTATCAAAATTAATGTTATGATCATAGGTAAGTATTTGTTGATATGATCATAGAATTTATTCAGTTGTCACTTGAAGCATCAGATGGTATGTATTTACATATCAGGCACAATAGGATTCTTTGGAAAATTAACAATTTAAAATTGAGAAATAATACTGATTAATTTTAGAAATGAAATTCAAATGCATAAATTTTGTAACCCCAACAAAATTTGTGGAAATTTTACTTCTTTCTGGTGTTAAAACAGTAATCTGTCTTAAAATAATCATTATTTTAACTAAGCCTGAAGAGTTACAATATCTGAATGTTAGTTCAATATAAAAGTTCTGACTTTATCACAGATTACAATAACTAATCCAATCATTGTTTATGTAATAGCATCCTTATGTGTTTGTTCAACTAAAGACAAGCCTATTTGTATAGCACAAGGGCTAAAGTAGGTTTGCATTCTTGAATAAAAGTGTTATTGGTCAAAAATACAAATCACTAGCAATCTGAAATTTTTGTTAGAAGTTTAGTTAAGTGGATTTAATGTTTTCTTTGTAGTTTTATTGTACAGTACATTTGTTCCAATGTTGTAATGTGTCTTCCAAGTTTTAAAGTTTTAATACCTGTATTGTCACGATGACCTCATGTCTTGAAGATTGAAATAAATCTTTAAATCTTAACATCAAGCTTAACAGCTAAACAGTAGTGTTATAACACAGCTAGCTTTTCTGTTACATTACTGAGGATTATTTGAGCTTTATAAGTATGTCTTGGGTATTATGCTACACTTGTAACTACTACTTCTGAGATGATACCTCACCTCTTCACACAGAATAAGTTTATTCCTCATGCATCTGCCTATGATATTTGCATGTCAGTAGCCATGAGTCGTGTTTTGCGTGAACTGTACTAGTGCATGATGACATAATCGTGCAATGACAGCCCTCCACCAATAGATGTGTGACACAACCAACCTCCTTGCATAGTAACTCCCCTTAAGCACTTGCACTCAAAATAACTTCATTCTCTTTCTTGACATTGCCTAGAACAGACGTATTATTAAAATTATTAATCAATTATGCGAGATTTGCGATAGCTTATGAAACATAAATTTTGTTTAAGTTTTGCTGGTTTTTCTTATAATTAAAGAAAAGCAAAAACATTTTTTCTTGCTTTCAAGTGACATTTACTCCTGCTTTGTCCTGTGATAATTATGATGTTCTTAATACAGAACTTGTGTTCATTGTGGTTACTGGGGGCTGATTTTCTGTGGAGGACATGACAGCCACTGTTCAACTTTGTTGTGGGTTCCTTCATGCACATTAAGCCTCTTCCTCCTGTCCATTAAGCCATCATTCCTTCTCCCCAGTTTGAACATGATCAGGATGATAAATATTTGACTAGCTATTTCCCCACCAGGGTTTACTCTAAGCATAGCTTTATCTGTGTAAGAAAATCTTCACCCGTTGAAACTTCTTTGACATGATTTCACAGGTATGTCCTTTTCTTTTCCCCTTTGTCTTTCAATACCTCCATCCCCATGCATTACTATGTGAAACATATACTTAAGATTATTTTGTTTTCCTCTTTTGCCTGACTAGTTTTCCAAACAACTACACATCTGTACTACCATGACTCATCCTCCTTCTTTACTTCACTCTTTTGTCCTGGCTTACAGCTGTTTTTCATTTATATTTCTTGATTCTCAGTGTTTGAAATCTCTTTTACCTTCCTGGTGGGGTGTATCTCTTAACTTCTATTTCCCTTCCTAGTGCCCAGTTTTTGCACCTTTGTTTCTTTGTTACCACCCTCATTGCAGTACTTCTAGTCACTTCACCTTATGTCTGAGGCACTGCACTGTGCCCCGAGTAGGTTTTCTGAAGAGGTTTGTTCTCTTCTTTTCATCACATTGGCCCATACTGTTACTTTTGCTCTATCTGTCCTTACTTGTTTTCTCCTTGCTGTTTGTGCTTGTTGGGATGGGATGCTCTCCTAGCTAATGTGCACCTTCCTCCCACTTCTCTCTCTGTTCTTTATTAGGTTCCATTTCTTTGCCCAGAGATCTTCAGGAGTGTTCCTGTTTAGTGTGATCCTTGGGCCTGATAAACACTTGAAAGTTTTTGAATGTCTGGTTGCACAACATCAAGACGATTACATATTTTTGACAGCAAATAAGTCATCCAACTAAAACCAGATTCAACCAGATAAGATGTGGGAAAAGCGATAAAATACAACTTTGCTTTCTCCCAAAGCTGTGGAAACTTATTAGTTATTACTTATCCAGAAATAATGTTTGTCACATTTAGTTTGGGCTGGTATATCACTTTACAGTTCAAAGAGACATTCTTGTAATGTGATGTCAACATCAACCGCATTCACCCCAAATGGATCCACCACCCAATCTGGAATTTTGATTGTTACTCGAGTACTAGTCATGTCTGGTAACTTGACTTCTGAGCTGTGGGGGATATGGGGAGAAGGGAACCTTTGATTCAATTTTAGATATTTTATTTGCGTAGTGAAGTTTTGGTGGCCCACTCAGAATTTACTGTGGCCCCCTAATTTTTCGTCATTCACATGTGGCCCCTTAGAAACCTGGTGTGGCCCCCTGGGGGCCATACGGCCCATGTTGAGAACCATTCCAGGAACCTTCCATATGGAATTGATGCCTGGTTATCAACCTGTCATTTCTCAACAGGTTTCTTATCATCCCTCAATTCCATATGGAAGGTTCCTTTTTTCTCCAATGGTTCTTTTCATCCAGACAGAGGATGACCAAAGTTGACACTTCAGACATGTTGTACACATTCTGATTGCCCTGTTCTCCAGACATTTTCTTTGTTTTGTCCATCGGGATTCAGTCTTCAGTCCCAGGCTTTCCTTTCTTGTCAAGGGGTGCTCCTTATCTCTTTAACCCTATCTGCACAGGCATCCTTTACTGCTCATGTTGCAAAGTATTTAGTGACTTACATTCAAAACTTAATTAAATTACTTTTTATCAGTGATATACTACTTACTGTGGCATAAATTCTTAACTTATTTTATAAGTTTTAAGTTCTTAATTTTATAAGGCAATATAAAAAAATCCCAAATTTTTCCTAGTGTGAGGAATGTGACATTTTTTGTCTAAGCGTCCCCTCTTTTTTAATTTATTCACCAACCCTCTAATAAGTATGAAATTTAACTTAAATTACTCAATACAAAATCATAATTGCTAAGACAAAGCATAATTTTTATAGCCTTCAATTTTGTTTGGTTACAGAGCCATCAAATAGAAAATCAGACCCCTCTTGCCACACCCATCTGTTACATCATCTCTTTCAGGATTTGTTAATAATTCTCTCTTAAGTTTAATTCTATATTATTTATAAGCAATAGAAAGCCAAGGTTTTCAGCTATTAAATAATGTATTACATTAAGTTGTTTTTTGAACAGGGAATTGTCAATTTCTCTTTTAGTAAAAGCATTGGGAAACATATTGAGTAGCTTTGGTGAATTTGTAATGGCTCTTGCCGCATAGTTAGAAAGCCAGAAAAAGTGTGATCGTTATGGAACATTGTCTACTTTTTGCATGTTATTATTCTATGTTCTTTGATGCATTATTTAATTAAATAAAAATTATTTAGTGCATTACTACCATTAGTTTAAAAAAAAAAAGTAGGGTTAAGTGTCATCAACAGTTGACAGGAAAAAAAAAAGGTACAGATAAGTACTTGTTTTTCATGTGTATTGTTTATTTATTATTATAAAAGTAACTGAAATGTAAGAATGGGAATTTGTTTAGGTTATTTAAAGTTAGATTAGGTAAAATATATAATAACAATAATAACAAAATTTTCATGAGACATGCATGCGAGAAGCTCAGAGTGGCTCGTGGGTAATGTAATTCGATAGCATAATGTTAGCTCCACATTCCCCAAGTGACTTACAGTTTATAATGGTGCAAATAGTAGTTACACATGGCTAAAGGACAATAAAACAATAAAATTTAAGTATAAATAGATGTACACTGTTATGAGTTTAAAGCTACTTTATTTCAATCTTTTTTTTTGGTTGTTACGAGGTTGGTCAAATTGACCAATTTTGTATAAAGTTAGGGTAGAGGAAATAACAGATAAAATATATAATTTTATTGAAAACAAACATTTGAAATGTGCTTAGGAGGTTTTATAAATTACAAAGATATTTATTTTATTTATTAACTTTTGCTGATTTTTCATTAAAGAAATTTAGGGGACAAATTTCTTCATGAAGACATTGCAGTAACCATTTTAGCTCATTAACTCTCTCACAAGGGGTTTAGTCAATTTGACCGAGTCACATGACCTTTTGTACTCATTTAAAGTCTTTATAAGTTTAATAATTATAACTCTCAATGTATTGGGTATATCTTCATGAAATTTAGCAGTCTTTCAGTTAATATTACTAGTCTTTCACATACAAAAAGTTATATTTCTTAGTGAAGTATTTTTAATATAATAAAATACAGATGTGTCCATGAATATACTGAGTATTTGTTTTGAATAGCCGATGTGCAAAGTAATTTTCGTGTCAAAATTAGAAATAATTTTCATCATTTCAAATTTCCTTTATGTAATACCTAAAATCTCCTAAATTCATTTCAATCGTTTTTTTCCAGTAAGACGTTATAGTTTATCTGTTATTCTCTCTAC